TTGTCATAAGAAGATTAATGGTGATGATTATGTTTGTCATGTACAGTATTATACTTTACAAAGAAACCTTATAAGAAATTATCATTTAATGAGAAGATGAGAATAAATGGTCCATTAGACCTATATGCCGCTGTATACAGTATTCCATTTCATATGAGTATTCAAAATTTTCATCATATAGTGATGCATTACACTTTCAGTTTAGTATGCATTATTACTATGTGCATTTCTTCACATGGCCAAGGGTTTGCTGTGATAAGATCCCCGCTGATGTATGTCTATTCAGTACTGCTGTACAGTATATAGAGAACATTTGCAACTCCTATTGGGCTCATATATAACAATGCTCAAAGTATGCCTATTGCCTCCTTTCATTTACATTTGCTGCATATTGCTGAACTGAATATTTTAATGACAGCCTGCTCCATAGGAAATTTTAGGAATGTATCCCAAATTATCTTTTGTGTCCCCTCTTTTTTTTCTTGATTTCCATGTTTCGCGCTTAATTTGTTACCAAGCTTATTTTTTCCTGACGCAAAAGGGAAAACTAAACAATTGATGTTCATCAACTTCAAAAAATCGAAATAAAATGCTGCACATGAAGACTCGCTCATTCACTACAAAAACCAGCAGGTGTATCTCACACAAATATTCAAGAAGGTATACTCGAAGTCAAAGCACATGGCGATGCGAATTCAACAATAATACGAACGAAACTCGCGACAATTCAATGCAACAACACTTTTTCCAACAATCATTTGATGAACAATCGAGATTTTTTCCCTCCACAAAAATAGGTATATCTCAGTTGGGACTCGGGAGTATAACGAGAGAAACATTGAATTTCCCGCAGTTCTTCGAACGACGATCCGCCGAGAGACCAATAATACATTCCGACAATAAGCGAATATTAAGAGTTTCATCACTTGCGTGGCAAAAATTCCATGCTTTTCAATCGTCAGTACTCGAAGAAGAAAAACAAGAAAACTACGTTTGAAAAAGAGGTGTGGAGTTCATGACATCGCTGCTGATGTTCATTCTTCACTCGGTTTTATGAGGTGTCCACAAAGTTACTCAGCAGTTGAAAAGTTCAAGTAGCCTCAGTAAAAATTTAGCATATTGCTGTGAGAAATATCGCAGTTTTTGAAAATAATGCAGTACTGTATTAGAAATAACTCTCAAGCAACATTTCAGCAAAAACCTGTGCTTTGCACGGAATTATGTCAAATAGATCTCGAAGAATGGCCCACAGATTTCGCGCGCAATAAAATAAAAAGACACACAAAAACTGAAGTAGAATTTAGTTACAACGAAGCACTTATTGGGACCTCAAAAATCTTCATTACAAAGGAAACATTTTTTGAAACGAAATTGAAATATCATTGCATCTATTGGACCAAGAAACAAATCCACTGTAAGCATTATTTCATTAAAAAAAAATTATACTGCTCATAGATATTAGCAGATAAAATCATATTCACTGGTAAAAACTGCTAGAATGTCCATATCATGATTTCCTCTTTATTTTTGTGGTTAGATGTCAACTTCAAAATACAGGTGTATGCATTTAATTTGAGTGAAATACTGTTTTGCTTACTAATTTGGATACCTCTGAATATTGAGCATATAGTTTAAAGCGGAGTTCTTCAATTCTTTTGGGCCTGCTGACCAGCGAATTTCTTTCCAATTTTTGCAGACCAGCAGGAATTTTCTCCATACCTGGCGTCAAGTCCTCTGAATGAAGCTTTCATTGCAGAAATTAAGTTAAGAACCAATGAAGTAGCTATTCTACATTGCCTTGAAGAATTAGAAAGCGTGGGTCCAAGAAAAGTTTCTCACAATGAAAACTTGAAAATAATTTATTTCAGCAAGTTAAAATTTGTTCAAAGCATTAGCAGCAGAAAAACCCACTTTCTTTTTTCATCACAGAATTTCAACTTCTGCAGCCTCTCCTAAATTACAAACAAAGATAACGGATTTCATCAAGACTTTTGATAAAATTTTATTATGCTCAAGAAAATTTCCCGCGAACCGGTGGTCTGCAACCGAATCTGTTTTTAAGTCTTTGATTACAGCAAGGTGAACGGCAAATTAAAGCGGCAGAATGCAGTAATAGAAAACTCTGGGATACTAGCGAACACATACGAATATAATCCATCTTCAAAAACGAAACAGTAAACACAAACGGGACTGCGATCTTTTCCTCGAAATTTACTACACGAAAATCGAAATTTGATTTCGCCAAAAAAAGTTTTTCTCACTGCACAGCAACTTTTTGGACGCTCAATACCAAAAAAAAAGAATAAAAGAGTCACACAACAATTCATCATTCAATTAACGGACTCGCGGGTTGAGCACTGGCTTCGCCTTCATCCAGCTTCCCCTGCTTGGATGACGATGACGACGACGAACTCCCGAACACTTGCGTCGTGTCTTCAATCAACAAATACGACATCTTGGACGAGTCGACTTGATGCACGCGCAGCATGTGCTTCTTCAGCCCTTCTGCCCGGATGAAACCCTCTCGACACACTGAACACACGTAGGGCTTTTCGCCAGTGTGAAGCCGCTCGTGCGCTCGCAGTTTATTCGGCTCCTTGAAAGACTTTTTGCAATGCGTGCACGTGTACGGCCGGTTGTTGGTGTGCGAGCGCAAGTGGTTCTTGAGCCAGCCGAGAATCGGAAACTTTTTCCCGCAAACGTCGCAAATGTAGCGGAGGTCGTCCGAGGTCGAGTGAACTCCGCGGACGTGAACGTTGAGATTGTCCCGACCCGAGAACCGTTTGCCGCAAACGTCGCACTCGTGAGGCTTCGTCTGTCGACCCTCGTGCAACGACAAGTGCTTCTTGAGGGACGAGGGGTTCGCCAAGTTCTTGCCGCAGACTTCGCAGCGGAACGCGACCTTGTCCGTGTGACACACGATGTGGATGTCGAGTTGGTCCTGGCGCTGGAACCCTTTCCCGCACTGGCCACACTGGTATGGTCTCGGTGCGTGAACCTGAGAGCAAATAACCAGGGTTTTAACGGGTAACTTTCAAGACAAACAATGAGTTCCCGCATAAAAAAGCACCTGCTTAATGAAAACTTCACAAAACGAAAATTCAAAATTTGAACCCCGGAAAGGCGGAAATTCGAAATTTGCACGACGAAAATTCGCAGAAAGAAATTTCCGAATTCGCAGAACGAAAATTCCCGAAGGGAAAAAGTGACACACATAATGAAATTGTTTCACTTGAAGACGATTTTGGAAGAAAAAGGCTTGTATTTCATAAAATTTTACTTTCACATTTAGGGAAATTAGAAAAAAAAAGATTCAGTTTTGCACCTTCTGGTCTTGAAATTTTGTGAAATTCAGAAAGTTAAGCGCAAAAAGTTTTCAGGATCACTCCAATTTGATACTAATCAATTTTGAATTCAAAATGTAATGCTTGAAAATTCGGAAATTCATAATACAGTATCGCATAAAGAAATTTCTCAAGGGGGAAAAGTGACTCACATAACGACATTATTTCACTTGAAGAAAATTACGGCCAAAATGGCTTGAATTTCATCAAATTTTACTTTAACCTAAGAAATTTTAGGGGAATGGGGAAAAAAAGGCGTATTTTTACATCTCCTTGTCTTGAAAGTTTGTGAAATTCAGAAAGTCGAGAGCGAGAAGTTGTCAGGATTCCTTCAACTGTATACGAATAAATTTAAATTCCACCATTTACAGTAGTGCTGAAAAATGCAAAAATGTCATGGGGCATCATGATCTTTCGGTTAGTATGTCGAACGAATTAAATCACCCACAATGCGAAAGACGGATCATTCACAAGTACAGTGCTCGGTAGCTACGCAGTCTGAATTCGTCAAAAAAAAGTGCATCGAGACGAAGAGAACTACAGCACTGTCTCAACACACGTGACACTGAATCCACGAAAACGCAGGTCGAAGTATTGGCTGCTTGCCACTCACCTTGTCCATGTGAACGACGAGCCAGTAACGATTCTTCACCTTACGACAGCATTTCGGACAAAATTGCAAATCGTTTTCATTCTTGTCCAAACCGAAGAGTTCCGGATTGAAGGCGTTCGTTCGCTTTCGCTTCGTTATTCTCCGACGATGATAGTCATCCGGAGACGCGTAATCCTCCACTCTTCCAATGCACTTCATCTCGTGCACCATCGCGTAGGATGAATAGAACACCTGCAAAATTGACAAAATGAAAAAAATAGGACCATGTGAGGGCAAACTCTTGTTAAGAAAGCAGGGAAGACACTTCAAACAAATTCACCTTCATGAGTGGTTACTTTGAAACAGGATTTACACTCCTCAAATCGACAACATTGGTGGGACCGAAATCGGGCCAAATCCATTTTGAATATTTTTGTTTTATCCATACTGTATTTCCATTTTTTCTAAGGAATTTTCGACTCCCTTACAGTCGCATGCAAAATTCTCGTTCACGGGTAGGTCGGAGAACGAGGCGTTTATTGATTTGAAAACCTTTCAAAAACTAAATGTAAGAATTTTTACGTTAGACAATAGAATGATCTGACCCAATTACAGAAACATACAATTCCAAGCATAGAAGCATTGCCTAACTTTCCTGCATATTCTTCTCCAAGAGACACGGAAGAAATAATATTCCCCAAAAAGTCAACTTCACTCGAAAGATAATCGAAGTCTTTTTAAATCGGCACATTTTTAAATCAACTTTTGTACTAGAACAAGAACATTCTCGTTTCTGAAAGGCTGGACACATTTTCGGCTACACATTCAATTGAGGGTCTGGCATATCGCGCAAAATATGCTCGAAAAAAATTAAGACGCGTCTCACACGAAATAGCGCCCAACATTCGCGTAAATACGGAATGGTCAAAAAACGAGGCGTCCATTCCTTTGAAAATCATTCAAAAACTAAATAAACTACAAGATAGAATGAACAGACCCGATTAGAGAAACCCACAATTTCGAACTTAAAAGCGGCATCCAATTTTCTGCGTTTTCTTTTCCAAAAAACACAAAAGAAATAATATTACTGAAAAAGTGAAATTCACTCGAAAGAAAATCGAATCAGCTACATTTCCCCCCCTAAATCATGTTTTTTGCACAAGAATATTTTCCTTTCTGAAAAGCTGAACACATTTTCCGCGATAGAATGTTGCACTATTTCATCTTGCTTTTTTTTTAATTAAAAAATTTAATTATATTTCACAGACCTTTTTTTTTTTTTTTTTTTGCACAAGAAGACTTTCTTTTCTGAAAGCTGAACACATTTTCGGACACACCTTCAATTGAAAATTCTGGTATATCGGGCAAAAAAAATTAAACACTTCGGCGCGTCTTAAACAAGATAGCGCCCAACATTCGAAACTCACCTTGCCACACTTGGAACACGCGGATCGTGAGTCGGAATGCACATTGCGGATATGAGAGCGCCACGGGCCGAGACGCGAAAAAATCTCTCCGCATCCTTCTTCGGGACACACGTACTTCCGGCCGGCGCCCAGCCGACTCTCCTTCGTCACATGCTCCAAATACCGGCGCTCGTCCGCAAAAACGTTTTGGCAACACGAACACCGGAACATGGTCACGTCGGGATGAACTGTGCGTTTGTGCAAGTACAAATTCGGCGTGTTCATGCCGCACAAGTCGCAGAGGCCGCCGCGATTCGACGTGTTCAACACGGACCTCGGCTCGTTGAAAAACAACTGCGTGTTGTCTCCGATCCCGCTCACGTCGCAGAGTTGAGACAAGATGCGTTGCATATTGCCCACGGAAATCACGTCCGACGTTTCCATCGAGCCGTCCAAGTCGGTGAAATGATCCGGGTTGCTGTTCTCCTCGTTCTCGTCCAGCTTCTCCAACTGGAACGGCACCTTTGCCGCCACTTTGTGGATCCTCAAGTGCTCCTCCATCGCATCGCGCTTCTTCAACTTCTTGTTGCAAATGTTGCATGCGTACGCGTACCTCGTCTTTGAACAACAAACGACAAAAAATATAGAAAATAATGCGAGTAAAGTCAAACCACCCTCGACAACCGCCAATTTATTAAAAAAAAAAATCCATCCAAATGCTGAAAGCATTGGAAACCAAAAGCGAAACACTATCTGCCAAAATTATCGAAAACTCAAAAACGCTAAGCCAATTGATTTTGTGGACGATAGCCCGCCAACAAGATTCGACTTTTCATTAAAGGTCTCCAATCAAAAAAAACACGAGCACGAAAATATAATTCACTTCTTGGGAACATTAGATAGACATAATTTGCGCATCCCCCCGTTATTTTGATTGTTTCCCAGAAGAACAGGAATTTTATTTACGATTGTTTTTGATTTTCATATGATTTTAGCCTTTTTGGTAAACCCCCAACCCAGTTAAATCGCCATAACCTCATGGACGAATGGTGACGGCTCATCAAGGTTCGACTGTACATTAAATATATACCATACACAAATGAACTTTCTCTACAACAATAATCAGTCTACAACGATTTCCTCTCAGAGGAAATCGTTGTAGACTGATTATTGTTGTAGAGAAAGTTTATGTCCCCACAACGAATTTATTTTTAGTCCTACGGGGTTCTCAACCCATGTTATTGGGATTCTCTACAACGAAATTCAAGAGCCCAGAAAGTAATTCGTTATCGAGAGAATTTCGTTGTAGAGAGAGTCCACTTTTACGTATTTCTGTAAAATTCAAATTTTTCCAGAACAGTTTTCAATAAGAAATACATACTGTATAAATATTGATTCTAAGTCTCCCATCGAAACAGGGAACAACGGACAATACAAAGATCAAGTTCCAAAAGTTATGGTCAACTCCAATGCAAATTTGATCGATATGCGCTTTTTTGTGCATAAACTTGCGGCATCATCAAACACTTTCTTTTTGCAATTTCCATTTTGAGAAAAGTTCTGGCATCGATTCAACCAACCTTATTGATCATCAAATTATTACTGGAAGTATCGGAACAGCTCGAGCCAAGAAGTCTTCGTTACAAGATCTTGCTTATTGATGCCCACTCACCCACAAAAGAGAATTGGGACCTTTTTGCATAAAATAATGTAAAAAAAAAAAAAAAAAAAACTCACTGAAGTGGCATGACGAAGGTTATGCTGAATGGACGCCACTTTCACGTCTTCCCTTACGATGAGCGTTTTTAATCGCCCAGGGGCAATCATGTGCGATGGCATACGACTGTTGAAAATGCCTTCGGTTCGCACAGCAAGCGGCGCCGTCTTCGTCACAGATGACGACGAACCCGACGGATTCCTATCGTTCGCATCTTTTGAAGAACCGCCGTCTCGAGAAGGCACATCTTGAGCATCATGCACGGAATCATCTTTACCACCACCACCACCACCACCAGATGATCCTTCATCCGGTTCGTCGTCGCGTCGGAATCTCCGCGGATTCTCAATCATCACCGTCTCTTCCATATCATCTTCGTCATCGTCTTCCTCGTCGCTGAAATCGTCTCCGGACCAGGCAGGCAACATACTCATGTCTTCGTCTTGAGAGCTGGGGAATCTGGATGATTGCGTCGAGCCTCCGAGGACGAGTTTCTTCTTCACGGAGTGCTCCATAGACGCCAGTTGCGGCTTTCGACTAGACGTTGAGGGTTCAGAGTCGTCGATTTCTGCTTCAAATGTGTCTCTCGCACGCACGTCTTCGTGCTCCACCTTCACGTGCTCGATTATTGTATCTGGTGAAAAGAAAACGGAGAAGAGGTCAAGTCACCAAATGGAATGCAAACGTAATCAATACATCAGATGATAGACACATTTTTTTAGATCCTGCGGAGTTTAATGGAATACCGAGCAGAGAATCACGCCATATTCTGCACAGTGCGTTTTGGCCAATTCAGGTGCTTTGAAATGCGACTGTTACTAGTAACTTCGAATGATTAAAGAAAATACAGTGGTGTTCGACATTTGGACAACTCGACTCAGGGACACTCTATAACTCGAGAAATCTGCTCCAACATCCGAACAATGTCTCAAGATCTGGACATTCATTTCGGGACAACTGGAAACATTTTATTTTTCAAAATTTAGTTATCTCATGCACAAATTCAGCTTTCCATGTTGACAAAAATTAAAAAGAAATGGTATCATGAAGTCACAATAATTCATAATCTAAAACCCGCTAATTTTGCGCTTCTTCGGAGTTCCTTTCATTCTCTGAGCAGTGAGCACAGTATAGGAAGAATTGCGCTCGATCTTCGCTTTACCCGACCATTTTCATGCCAAAAGATAAGATTTCAAGTGGTTTTATAACTTTTATTCTGCACGGTTATTTTCTGTACCTTGAAATCGAGAAGTAGTACGTGAATCATTTTTTCGGGGACTTCCCCTAATTTTTCATACGTAGGCATTTTGGGGCCCCACTACTCCTCACATTAAATTAGCCTTCAAATCGACTTTAGGTCTATTAATTACTTGAACAAAATCTGTAGTACAGAAATCTGACCACCGACAGTAAATCGTCATTTAGGCTTTCGCAGTTCTTTGTTTACGCAGTCAGATTCTTCCAAACCCCTGATCAAGTATTAATTTTCCAAAACTTTCCTTCCCTTAAATCTGCGAATAGTGGCAACTACCCGTTCACTAATCGACATTTCGGAAAAACATTTTCCTCACTGACACGAACATGATCAACATAAATTACAATACTCTGACGATTCGTACATAGCTCTCGGAAATGCTATTTCAACCTTCGAGCGACTTCCCGTCATTCAGATTTTTTTTGTAAAAACCACTTAAAATCTCATTAATCACGACGATCAATTGGGTAAACCTCAGTTTTATCCAACCAATGACTCTCCGTCTTCCCTTAATTTAAAATCAAGTCAGTAAGAATTCGAACAAAAGTCAGAGATGGTATCACAAGTATTAAAATCACTCACTCCTTAAGAAAAAGACTCCGATTACGTAAATATTACAATAACATTTACTAAAAGACCGGGGAACAACTAATGAAACACGCGTCGCAGAAGCATAGTTCAAACGAACATCATAGGTTTAAAAATACAATAAATTTACAAACCATCAATCCACCAATACGCTTTAGATAACGAAAGATTCGCGGGGGTTTTACCTTTGGCATCACAAGGAACACTCGGGCTGTCTTCAACATCATCACTTTTCGACTGCTTCTCTGCACTTGTTTCCACTCTTTCGGCACTTCTGAGCGTAAGCTGATCAAGCGCTGCACCGTCAAGCCCGGAAATAGGCATAAACGACTGTCCATTCTCTTCTCGAATGTCTCCCCAGAAGGTTTCGTTATCACGCTTGATTTTCACGCCCAGGCGACGGGCATCAACTCCGTTCTGGTACAACATTCGCAAATCGTAGATGTCCTCGCGCAACTTCACTTCCAGTCCATCGATGTCATTTATGAGATTGTAACACCGAACACACAAAGAAGGTACGATATCCCCGTCGCAAGGCATGACGATCCCGAGGATGGAACCGAGCTTCTCGACCAACTCGGTACTGGTACACTCGGTTGCTTGTCCGAAGATGGGGATGAACGCGTATTCATCCGATCCCCCTTCTTCATAGTCGGAACACACGAAACAATGCAAGTCTCTCGCAGACATTTTCAACACTGAACTACCTACGAAAAGAATCAAGATCATGGCATGTTCAAAAATGTCACGATTCAGGATGGACCAGGAGAAAGTATGTCGAATTTCAAAACTCGCATTTCCGGAACAGTCAGACCTTCTATTGAAAAATTATGGTTCAATCAATACAATTTCTGATTTTATGGGGCGAGCTGCACTAATACTGCATGACAATAACAATTTTAATAGACATGTGCACAAACGAAGTAGCCTCATGCCTTCTCGTATTTGCATTTTGACGTGGAGTTCAGATCATGGTAATATTTTCGAAAATGACCACGATAACGGGAGCTCAAAATATAAAATCAGATTATTTTGGATTGAACGAAGGTAGCCATAAATGGTCCAACCTATTCGGTGATGAATTTTTTTGAAAATCAGACCACATTCTCCTGCCCATAGTTGAAATGCAAAATGAGACGACGTAGGAAAACGCAAAATCCACTTTTACAACCACATCACGCTCACACCGCGCAAGGCAATTTCAACTCACGAAATGCCCACGAGAACGCAGGATCCAAAACCACGTTTCCGCGGAACAATACCCATCATCATTTGAAACACACCGGAATTACAAATTATCAACGTACTGCCAAAAATGAAAAATTTGGGTGCTGAATCGACGAAAAATCACACGTTCGTTCCGAAGCACACTACAAACACACTCGACTGCAATAAAGAAGAATTTAAACGGTACCCTTGCACTGTGGTATCATTCCCTAACATAGACGTAGGAAAAAGTTCATCGTCGATATCAAGCAGCGATAATTGTTGACAACCTACGTAGATTCAACACGGTGAATAAAATCATTCAAACCTTGGTTGAAAAAAAACTGGAAAGATCGAAGGAGGATGATTCACCCTTTGCCCAGCTTGATGGTGCCCATGCCTTTCATTGGATCCTCTGTTTTGACATTGCCTTTGATCAACTCCATCACTCCATCAGGGATTCTGCCTTCGTCAATCTCTTTGGCAACCTTCCGATACTGAAGAGAAAGATGTTTGTATGACACGCATCCCAACGGCGCTCCTTACGACTCACCACATCCAGCTCTTGGCGAAGAGAATTTATGGCCTTCTCTCGGCTCGTGACGAGCTCTTCCAGGTACTGATAGCGAAGTTTCTTCCGAGCTCTGCATTCTCGAGCAGATTGCCTGCTTCGTTCCAGTTTCTCATACACCACTGGCGGTCCTGTCCAATAATTCAACGTTTTCGTCATCAAACGACCTGAGCACAACTTCACATGCATAGCGTAATGCCTAATCATAAGATATATATGTTTTTCACCTAAGTATACTCTTATATTCTTAAAAACTAACATGAATAACAATGCTTTAAAAAAAATCAAACTAATTAATCACTTTGTTCGTTCGACGAACCTCGGACGCCAGAATTCAGAGATGTGCTTGATTTTCTAGATCCAGACTTTCGAGGTGATGCGCTATCTCCAATTCCGGAAGGAGATGTGGATAGCGCAGTAGTTCGAGAAGTGAGGTAAGCCGTTTCGGGACTGACTCCGTCAGCCAGGAACCACGAACCATCCGCACCGATGATTTCTTCAACGATTGATATACCCTGAACGTACACCAAGATGATGAGCATAAGCTTGATCTCTATGGATACTCACGTTCAACCCACTTACGTCAGATACGTTCAAATAGGACGAAGGGGGCTTGGAATCCGGGGATCCCGAGTTTGAGTTTTCATCGTCGACTTCCATGTGATACTCGCAGTAGATCGATGTACAAGTGCCACAATTTTCACTGAACACTCACAGTCTGAAAGTATATCACCGTGATGAAGCCATTCGGATACGAAGCTAACGCGAAAGGTAACATTCCTGATCATGATGATCAATGCACGCGTATCAAAGATACAGTAAGTCTACAGTAAACACGTTTAGGACCACATTGCTGGGAAAGCTCAACCCTCAGAAGAGTACTTGACCAGAGGGGAGAATGGGCGGCGGGTGGGTCAGACATCCTCTTTCAGATTTTGGAGGAAGGCCAGGTGAAGCGGACGGGGAGCAGCTGAAGTGAGATTTTGAACATGCTGACTCTGCGTGGACGCTATTACCCGATAGCCTCTTCTCCCTTGTATCATCTGGCTATTGTTTAGCGACATTATAGTGCTCATGATGGAGAATATACATGATGCCACAATAACAGAGTTGGTCTGTTCATCGAAAATCCTTACCGCAAGAGGTCTGTGTTAGGCCACTGTATACAACGTTGAATTATTTTAATACACTATCATTGACACAAATATACTACACTTTACATATACAGTTTTTATATAAGACAGTCATGCATATAATTCAGAAATCCCATTTAATTCAAAAATATAATAGAAAATTAATTTAATGAATGTTATGGGAAAATTAATGGAGAACCGTTATTATGCACCTTAGAACAGTTTGATCAAGATTAAATGGGATTCTAAAACAATCCTGATAAAATGAGAAAATCTAACTACAGTATAGGGATCAAGAATATTGCAACATTTGTGCCTCATGTGGTGTGTCATACTCATACCTTATGTGGTTAAGGTGGAGGGCTTCAATTCCTGCTGGTGGAGCTGAAAGATTCTCATGTGTATATTATTCCCCTTTCCTGTTGTACAGTATATCAATTGGTTCACAATTGAGTTGTTCATGCAAATTGGGTGTGCTGGTTGATTGAAATAATGAAGCTTGAAATACAATAGAGATTAGAAGTGATTTCTTTATTATTTTAGTCAAATTTTTGAGACAGTTTGAAGACCCATTTGCTCACTGGGTTCTCAAATGGGCTGCACCTATGCCAGGACTAAAAATAGATGAGGGCATTAATTTGGGCATTAGGTGAATGGTTGTCAGGGGCATTTGTTTGGGTATTATAGTTGAATGCCCAGTAAATTCAAAGATTATTTTAAGTCCATTTTCTGAATGGTTATAGGATTGGCCATTTGTAAAAGGATTTAAAATGGGTTCACAAATGCTCACATTTTTGCTGGGTGTATGCAATCCAATCTGACACCTTTTTCTGTGTACATTTTGTTGAGAAAAATTAATTCTTTTTTTCTTTCAGTGGTTTTTTCCAACACATGGCATTGATTCCCTGGATTGGAAAAGTGTGCTGGTGCATTCAATGTTGGCTTGCTGGATCTTAATTGGATGGTGTCTTAATTGAGGAGTCTCTATTGTTGTCTTGACCAATAATTGAATCTAATTTTCACAATTCTTGTGAATGATCTGAGGTCATCAGCAATGACTATTGGTGTTGAAGGTTGAAATTGATTTCCACGTGCTTTTTGAGAATCAAGAAATACTCCAACAGAATTTCTTACTGTCCCAAAATGTTACTCCAATTGGCCAGCAAGGTATTACAGTGAAATTGAAAGGTGGTCTCCAATCCTAACAACTTTTCTTCTTCAAAACGGAATTGCAAATGTCTTTGTAGTAATGCTGCTGTAGAAAATTTCTAAAAAAAAACTCAATGTATTTAAGCTCAATTTATTCCGGATACATCCAAAAATTCACCAATTCCTGCAACTCTTGAGTCAGCGGAAAACTTCTCTTCCTTGGATATAGGAATGCCTTAAACAGAATTGGCCGATTCAAAGAGAGCGCGGAATGCCACGATTTTGTTTTTTAGCAAGAGTAACCCAAAACAATCGATTTTGCGAGACCAAGATTGCAAAGGAATTCAGCCCAGTGTGTAGTCCTCGAGCAGCCCCTGCGGCGTTTCTTCCTGCGAAAAAAAAAGAAACAAGGGTGTCTCCCCTAATACATAAACCAGTCCCAAATCATCTCCCATAATAAGCAGTAACTACTGTACAGTATTCTCTACTCCTCACAACGTCAAAGCTGCTGCGGCAAAAGAACACAACTTCAGTGCACCAAGAACGCAATCCCCTAGCTTTATTTTTCCTCTCTTCACAGGTCACAAAACGTTGAATCAATCCCTGGCGAATTCCAAAAATTCAATATAACAATGCTCACAATGAAAAATACTTTGGTACTTTCTTTCAGCCACTATGTAATGAAGTGCGAAATATTTTGAGCGACATAACACAAGGTTTCTCTCCTTCTGAAAAAACGACTTGCTCAAAATCAAGGCACACAATCCCAATAAGAACCTCCCTCCTTTTTTTCACGCAGCTCCAGAAAAACAGTGCTTCTATAATTTTGAATAAACTCGGTGCGCACACAAAAAAAACAAACAAACAATCCTTCCAACAGGAAAGCAACGTTGAGGCGAAATCCATTGTCTCATCATCTGCAAACCGAGTTTCAAACAAGGCCTACGTCTTTCAGTGCACCTTCTAACGCCTCGTCCTGCGTTTCACATGTAAGTAGGCACAATAAGAGGAAAAACCACTCATTTTCAGAGTTCCGCTCATATCCCAACAATAATAACAAGGGTGCTGATCTGGTAAGGGACCTACTGCGAAAAAAAACGGTTGCTTCGGTATGCGACCGACAAGATAATTGTGATCTGAGAATAACCGCCACCATGACCCCTCATGGTACACAAGCAAATCTATTACAACGAATTATTTCCTTGGTCCCTAAAGTTTCTTCATAGGAACACTATTGTAAAAAAATTTTCGTTACAAAGAACTAATTTCCTCTATATTCTCAATACAATATAATGAACATTCACCTTGATTACGTGTGCATGGGCCAAGGACATTTTTACTGCTGTAATTGGCAGGACATGGGAAAACTCAACCTGTGCATAATTTAAAAACCTTCAAAAATATAAATGGCAATTGCGTGCAGAATATGTAGCATTAAAAGAAGTATGAAGCTCTAATCAAAGTTCATTTGGCTTTATTTTTAAGATGGATATTAATAAAAAGTATTTTTAGAAGGATACTGCTTTATCTCAGGCAAATGAAGTTTACAATAAATAAATGTTCTTCTTACTCATGTATTTTCTGTTCATTTCAGCTGATACTGTAGTAGGATTGGTAGATTTTCTAAAAACAATTTCGAAAGGTAAAGACAGAAAAAAGAAAATTGAAATTTACATCTTGAATTTTCTCCATTATTTCATAGAAAAATTGGAAATTTGAACAAATCTTGCACATATCTGTTGTGGTAGATACTGTTGCGCTAGTTTTCCTCAAGATTCTAGTCCAACATGCCAAAAGAACCATGAATCTTGTTCGATTGAATTTCTTCTCAGGTCCCCGCACATGGGTTTGTTGCAGTAAGAATATACTGAATTCATCATGCCTCGCACGAACAGAACAAATTTAACATACATTTTCTGCCCACGATACTTGAAACTGCAAATTGACTGATTGGGGTCTAAAAATAATCGTACCAACTTGGAATGTAAAAAAAATTTCGGCTCGGTTCGGGCACTGAGGGATTCAAGGCCAAATACAAGTCAAGAGAATTTTAATTTATGCCAAAATTAAGCTTTTGGGCATATGGCATCCACAGATTGATAAATTTCGCAATATCAAAATCGGACCAACATCCTCAACGTGGCGTGAAAACATTTCAACACGGATAAATATCTCAAGATATAAGTTTGATCTGGATAAATGCCATCAACTTTAGCACCAGAGATTCTTAGCAGCAAAAATTGTCACATCACAGCATAAACTGGCTTGCAGTTAGTTTGACCACGACTTTATCCGACTTACAACCGTTGGCTCGGTTACAAATGTGTAGCAAATATTTCTTGAAGTCCCATTTTTAACGTGACATTCCGCTAATTCGGAACAGATGAAGTTTCCACATGAATTAAACATTGGTAAACTGAATTGCAACATTTCTTTCAAAAAAAATACTTGAATCGAAGTTTGATTCTTGTCAGAATCTCAATAATAAAAGGTAGTGCTATTTAGGAGCCGAAATAGGAATTATTCAGTACTGGCTAATAAATTGCAGTAGTTCTGAGAGTACAACAAGAACGTTTCATTTAAAAAAATGGGTAAGTTGGCAAGCCTGACTTGAGATTTCTAAAGATGAACATTCATGACCACATTTAAGAGCTAATAATCATTTTGTCATGTAGGATATCTTTTGCAATATTCTCAATGATTAGGAAAAGGCTCAAATGCTTCTGCAAGAATGCAACACATCCCTTTCAAGCAATCCTAGGATCATACAATTTACATCAGTGTTCCCCAACCTTCTAGGGACCATGGAGTAGCAAATTATATCAAATATTTTCAAATTAGCAGAAATGTTTCAAGTACCTGCCATACAGTCATCCAAACAAAAATTTTGCTGCTAAAATTAAGTTGAGAACCAATGAAGCAGCTATAGTGGAATTTCTTCAAAAAAATCAAGTTGGTCTTCAATAAAGATTCCCCAAAATGAATACATCAGGTGGCACCTCACACCTTGCAACTACCACTTGCAATTTGACTGTCCCACAATTCAAAAGTCCAATTTGCTTGGAGGTTGACTTGCAATTTGACCTCTGCCCCAAAATTTGACCTCTATCATCCTTTCTTTTGCACAGCTCTTCCTTAATTTTACAGGGTCTCACACTTTGACTGCTTTGCAATTTAACCCTGGTCCAGCAATGGATCCAGGGTCAAACTGCACAGCACCACCTGAACTTTGAATAATTTATATAGGCAGGTGAAAATCTGTCTGACTTTCAAGGAGGAGAAAATCTAACTTTTATTTTTTCATCAGATAATTTCAGCCGCCATTGTCTTTCCAAATTTTTAGATGATGATAACAGACTTCATTACTAACTTTTTGTACATTCATTATGCTCAAGAAAATTTCCCATGGACTGGCAAACAACTTTTGCAGACCACTGATGTAGATCATAGCTTTTCTTTCTAGCAGATCACATACCCAGCTAACATTTCAGTACTTTCTCTCAAAAATATCACATTATGCAAATAGATCACGTACCAGAACAGCACCGCAAAAAAAAAAACAACCGCTACGTGCTCAAAGCTACCGCTGTTAAAAAAAAAAACACCATCACTGATTCCAGTTCGAAAAAAAAAGGAAATCTACGATAACTCAAGTGACTGTGTGTACTCCACGTCATGCTTCGCCATTCCCTAGCTGTTCCCTCGCAAATTCACCACCATCCGATCCGAAACCAAGCGAAGAACAGAGAAAAGCTCCGACCACCGTGAAGAACCCAGGATGAAAGATAAATCATCGAAAGAAGCGATTCAAATGGACCAAACACCGTCTTCAGAGCTTATGCTAGGATTTGTGCGCATACAGACCTCTTGCAGCATGTCCTGGGCGGCAATGGCCTTCAGCACACTCTTCTTGGACGTCTCCTGGATCTCTCCACCAATGATCAACTCGTCCAGGATGAAGTAGGCCTTTTCGAAGTTGAAGATAATATCCAGCTCGCACACCTGCGAATGAACAATTGATAATATCCTATCAAAATACAGTTCAATCTCGTTACATGAAACCCCCGGGGACCTGAGAAAAATGTTTTAAAATGAGATTCATGTTTATTTCATGATGTAGGAATGCAATGTTGTGGTGGAATGGGTAATAGGTGCCTCAAAGTACTTCCAAAACAGATTTGTGAAGAACTGCTGAAATTTCCAACTTCTTTCAATGAAAAACTGGAGAAATTCGACGTGTGAAAAAAATTTTCTACTTTACGACGTTCCCTTTCCAAAATTCTCAAAAAATATAATTATCTTACTGAAGTATGAGCTGAAGCAAACGAAATACAGTACATGTGCAAGAATAGCATTTATCCATTGGGATATTCATGATCCCTGAAATTGTACAGTAATATCCTTCCGAAAATACTTTTCTAGAGAAAAATTAGTTATCTGTAAATTCTTAAATGAAGCTAGATACATTTTGATCAGAGCTTCATACTTCCTGCAATGCTAAAATTTTCTGCAAAAAAAATATTTTTGAAAGGTTTCTTTGATTATTCACAAGTTGGGTTTTACTATATTATGCTTGTAAGTATAAATACTTATGCTCCACAGTTTATACACACATAATCAAGACAACAATTCATCATCTTGAGATTATAGTTCACAATCATTTGCAATTATGAAATTTTCAGATAATTGTCCTTATGAACAATCCGCCGGGACAAAAAAATCGTTAAAACGAGATTCGTTAAAATTAAATTCGAAGAGAAGCTTCACATTGAACATCAATAACACAAAAATTTCCTATTTCGGAAAACTATAAAAATTATTAATTCTTTTTCGACCCGAGGAAAACAAGAAAAAATAACTCATCTTAATAGATCATGAGCAAATCGGTCAGGAGGAAATTCGACGAATACTTCATGAGGAGTTGAAATGAATTCAATTTGTCCACATTTCAACAAAAACATCGCGATACTCCTTCGACCGATCAATTTTTAGATTTCAATAATCTCTAGCAATAAAGGAACCAAAATTATTTTGACAATGGTTACCCGGAATTTCTTTGTGCGCGGTAATTAATTCACGGCGAAGAAATTAAGTAATTACTCACAGAGCCGAAATATTTATCAAGAAGCTCCACGTATCTGTGAATGACTTCAAGGGTGAGAAGCTCATTATCCTCTTGCTCTACGGCGCAGCAAAAATACAAACTAGCGTACCTGGACAAGAAAAAAAAAATGCATCAACTCTTCGAATTCGAGAATCCAAACAAGATTTCGCAATTCACCGTTTATACACGATTTTCAAATCCTTCCACTCAAGAAATGAACACATTTTGGGCTTCCGGGCCAGGATGGTAGTGGTGAGTTCACGGGTCACTTTCTTCTTCATTTTATCTTGGTAGGCAACGAACCACTTCTGCAACCGCTGTTTGCCTTGGCGGCTGAACAGCAACATGAATTGCATCTTGAAGAGAAAAAATGAGTTGTAAATCACAAGCAGCACAGACTCAGATGAAAGAATATTCGAGCATTTGTCCAGCATAAGTTGGAATAAAACTATCGTAGACAATAAGGCTTCAAGCTTTCAAAATCAACGTTTTTCTGCGCAGTAGATCAGTTCGGCGCAAAATTTCATTGCTGAAGGTGCCCCCGAATTGTTCCTTAGATTCAAAATCAGCATGCAACTCATGTACTTCGACTAACAAACATCAACCCAAAAATACAGTACCGTCAAACTCCAAGGGACACTTCGAAAATTTTAAATGGGGAAGTCGATTTTTCGCAACAAAAAAAATTCATTGCAGGAAGAAAAAATTAGCGTTTGTCTGGTATTTTAACTAGTTTGTAAATGAGTTGAATTTGATAGGATGCTGAACTTGAAGGGTTTACTTATGCAATTACATGATCACCAACTTCCTTCTGAAAAGCATCGAAAGACATTTTTATTGCTTTTTTCTTTCCTGGGTCCCAAAAATATTTTCCAAAAGGTTTCTGGGAGGTTCAAGTTATACAGGTTCGAGGGGATAAGTTGTCAAGTGTGGGAGGTCTACAACACAGTGGTACCTTGTATTACAAACATTCCGTAAATGAAAAATTGCAATTTTTCAGCTCTGTACTACTAACAAAATTTGTAATATGAACACAATTGTTCTTTATACAAATGAGAAAATTTATTCTTCATGCATATTTGGTTTTTATAAAGAATGCTCTGTACAAAGAACATATTGCTCGCACGAATTACGTTTGTACTGCGAGATAAAACTGCCCCGACATTCTTCACCCTTGCACTAAGAGGAAATTTGTCAGCGAAGAACAAAAGCTCACTTAAAATTGAATTTTATCTCAATTTTTTGGATAGCCCATTCAGAGGAAATGCTTTGAATCGGCAATCCACACTTTCATGAATTACGTTCATTGCATATGAGGTACCACTGAACATTATTCTCGAGGGAATTCAGACATGGAATGAACGTTTCATAGAAAAGTTAGAATTTTTGAATTCCACCTGAGATAACATAATTCCATCAGCACTAATTTATATTCATACAAATTCCACTCGAATTTAAATCATACAAAGTCAGACTAATACTCAAGGAACTCAATATTTGTAATTTGTGGGTTGACAGATGGTCACTAATTTTTGCAGGACATCATCATTCGTTAAGGCAAAAACTGGTATTTCAGAATTCAATTCTTCCACCAGAATCATGCTTATTATTTGTAAAATAATACTAAACCAAATTTAGCATTCCAAAATAACACAGCACACGAAAATAGACCTTTGAAATAATAATACACTAACTCCTCTTGACAAGTCACTCACCATTTTGCCTGACGAATGAGGATAATTCCTTCCTCAACGCCAGGAACTCGCATGAATTTACCCAAGCAAAATCAATAGATCATTAAAATACCTGCAACACGAGAAAAATTCCACAAATTTTCACAGAAATCCTATGTAGAAATTCAACCGCGTACGTCAATGAGCAAACTCTAAGACGTGTTTCGTTTAAACTGGACATTTTTCCACATGACTTGAAAACGCGATTTCAAAAAGACAGTCATTCCACTCTTTAGTTTCTTCTCATAGAATCAATGAATTTGATCTTTACGGAAATCAATTTCCCACTCAGAAACGATTGATTTACGACATGAGGACTGAAGAATAAAAATTGGGGTACTCTAAAATTCATCTTGTAGGGGAAAAATCTGCCCATTTTCAAATTTTGGAAAATACACAGTCAAGCTCACACAATGTATTTACTCCAAGTACCACGCACCCTCAAATAAGACACGCACCGGGGATTTTCAGTCAATTTTCTTTTAAAAATTTCATCCCTAAGTTAGGCAAGCGCCCCATTTTAAGTGACTAAAATTGAAATTTGTTAAAAATAAGGAATCCTGGCTTAGAACTTAGAAATGAATTGATCTTGAATTCACGTAACATTCAGTTATCTTCATTATAAGAAGGGCTTACTTTCAAATTAGTTGAACATTTCCCACTAGAATCAAATATGATGCACACCCGAAATCCTAAAACTTTTAAACGAATGTACACACAGTGATTGAAGACAGCCCCTTTCTCCTCTCAATTTAGAGAAAAAATGTGTGCTTGGTACTTGAGTAGTACATTATTGAAGTATACGTTGACAAGATTTAAAATAATTGCTAAACCCATAAACCTTGTTTTCGACAAATTTTACATCCACGCTGCGAAGAAATCCATAGACAACTTAGGATGACTCCTTATAGAACTTGACTGTGTCTGAGAGTGATTTCCACAAGTACTAGAACGATTCCTCAGTCACAGAGAAAACCCGAAAATGTATCGTACGGATTACCTCAATTATTCGCACAAAATTACCTCAAAACATCCGCTCCGAAACCCGGATTAAAATTTGCTCTTGAGGCACATCAAACTAAAAAAAAAAACGTCAACATCCAATCCACCGTATAATCACGTAAGAGCACAACTCAACAAGACAGCGTAAATCTTGATAACACGCAGGCAATTTCAACCGCGAAAACGGAACAAAACCAAATCCCGCCATGCAATAACGCCAACAAAATATGTCTACGAGTATCCTGCGTTTTCTCAAATAAAAGAATAATATACAAATCGCCTCCCGGGACGCAAAAAAAAACAAAAAACACGCAGAAATTTATCGGCAACGCAAGTAACCAATGAAACAAAACATCGAGGAATCGCCTCAGGAAAATTCCCACCACGGAACAGTAATTTGGAATCCGATTAACATATACTTGATATACCAAAATAAATTACTTCCTATCCCTCCACGTTTTCTTCAAAACATAATTTCCGTCTCGGGGCTGATTTCAAAAGGACTCACTGCCTCATTCATGCAGCTTTCGTGGAGTCGGATTCAAGACTGCCCCGCTTTCTGGAAAGCAGGGATTCTTTGTTAGAACCGGTAAGATGAAAACCGTCATGAACGAAAGCACGCCATTTCCTTTCATCGGGATTTTCAACAAGAACACGAAAAAGAAACGAAAGCGAATAAATTCGAAAGTAAATGCAAGATCAACCCAGCTATTCAATTAAGCAAACTTTCTTTCGTCAACGAAGAAATTTCACAACTCGAAATTAATACGCGAAACTGCGGGAAACTTCTCGTTGAGCAAACATCCGGCGACTACCCTGATCCTAACAAACACTCCCTCCACCGCTCCGAATTTTAATGCGAAAGCCGCTGATTTTTGGCGAGAGGCAAGACGAAACTTTGTGACGCGAGATCCTGAGATTCGGGGAGAAAAACCAATGTCGTCAACGAAGTTCGACGACGAAGACCGTATCTCTCTTCCCGATCCGGATAAAACAAATATTCCTTGAGAGACGGGTCTACTCCTCGCTGAGGTCGTCTTCGTCAAAGGCATCATCGTCAGCGTCGTCGTCGACGGTGTAGTCAGAGATGCCACCGTCAGATTCCTCGTCCTCGCGCTCCTCCTCGTCGTCACTCATGTCCCACTGTGGATGCTCCGTCGGCACCTTCGCCGCTTCGTGCACTTCGAGCTGCAAAATTTTGAAGGAATACTCGTCATGGAAATATTCGGCATGGTCCATCGCCTATTCGTTAAAAGCACAGTGACGAGCTCTTTAGGATCGTAGGCACAAAATCAAAGGTCATTTTACGCAAGCGCTCATTTTCTCAATAAAAAAAAATCTCTTCTATGGTTATTCTCAAGAGTTCTACGAGTCTAAAACTGACATCATACGAGGGGCCTAACAATTCTTCTCTGAGTACAAATCAAAACAGCATAAAATTGAGCTGATGAATAATTATTGTTGAAAAACATTCTTTGGCACAAGAAAAAACACAGCCGGTAAGATCAATCTGTAAAATTGTCAATACTTCCTGACGTTCCCTCACACCTCAAAAAGAAAACATTTTGTTCTGCCAAGTTGAGGAGATATTGAATTTGACCCAGTAACAGGAACATTAAATCTCCTCACTGCATGAATTGTCTAAGTAATTGCTTACAGAACATACAATGGTAAGTTTGACAAGTAAAACACTTCAGAGACATCTGAAGTAATATATTCAAAAAACCAAAAGCAATTATTCAAGGCAACAAAATATTTTTTTGAAGAAGTCATCCTTGCAACTTTGTACTCTTCACTCAAAAAAATGAAGAGCTATCTTGCAGAATTTACCTTGTACACCAGCTTTCCTTTCAGAATTCTTAAAATGGACTTAAAATTGATTCCAAGGGTTGCCGCCATTAATTTTACATTAATTCCAAAGGATGTGAATGCAACATTGATTTCAAGAATACTGTTAGGGACCCGCTGCACATTCCCTCCTCAAATTAACAATCAACCTAAATAATTTAATTGGGTGGAAAACCACCCAAGCAGAAACACCACCAATGTTTTTCCCCTCCCCCAAATTTCAAGCACCTTGGCGCCCAGACATCTTTGATGCAACTTTTGGTGGCCAATCAGAGGCCTCAAGATTTTCTGGTCCTTGATCAAAGACAAAACAAGATATAAATAAAAAACCCCTTTTCTCTAAATTCACCACCAGTCTGTCTTGAGCTATTGAAGAAGCAGTGCATTTGTACAGAAGTTCTCTGAGAGTTTTTTTTTTTTTACTTGAAATTTGTAAAAAACTTCATCTTTGAGATTTACTTTGATTCCTTTTTTGACTCTCTTTGTCGGGACAATTGAAATATAATTTCACTTTTAATTGAGGAATTCTACCAAGAATTCTCAGTCCCAGGCTGATTCTGTGTTTCCATTCTTCATAACTTTCTTTTATCCATAGCCGTTTTCTTTACTCTTGTGTTGCGGTGGCCTGAGCTCCCAACAAATACCGAAGGAGAGCTGGGATCAGAGGGATGCGCAAAAAAATCTGCAAGATGGGCGACTCATTGTTTGAGTGAAGAAAGAAAGCTGAAAGGATGACTTTTGCAAAAAAATCAAACAAGGCCCGATTTCTTTCTTGTGCCACAGCATGCTTTTACTGAAAAATGATGGCTTTTCAGCTCGACCATAAGCAGTTTCAATTTCTATCCTGAAAACTTCTGTTGGACCCCTGGTATTTACGAAACACAATGGTGACCAGACTAAAGGTAACACAAAATCAGGGGAAATCCGTTTTACAGAAGGAGAAATCAAGGTTAGGATTTATGACGCAATGAAGTGAGAACTTCGTAAACTCCCTGAGCACGTCTCACGAAGGTGTAAACAGGAAATTCAAAATTTACAATGAACAAATCCAACATCAGACACAAGGAACACAACATCTCGAAAAATAATACAGAGTAAACAAAACTGATGTAGCCCACTTGATACTGTCTCGACCTCAAAATGTTTTGAAATGGCTCGCACAGTCCTTGTCGAGTTACTTCTGTCTCCAATAATCCCTGTCTCAAATTAACCTAGATCCAAAGCAAAACACACATTACCTTTATAGTCTTGAACTGGTCAAAATCCCAGTACGAATCCGAGCGCAAGTACACAGTAAAAGAGTACGTTCCCGGTTTCGGAGGCGCCGTGAATCTCAGCTGAACTTCTTCTTCATCTGCCAAGTCCGTCACGTGCAGCGGGACTGACAGCATTCGCTTGTTGCGTTTATCACAGATGTACACCCACCTGTACGATAAATTGCATTACAATCAATGCGTATGAAAATACGAATAGTAGGACGAAGGTCGCAGTACCCTCGCTCTAGACAAGTGCTCAGGAACAACTGACATGGGTGGAGAATTCCTGCCGTAACGGGAAAGTTTCCACTCATCATCACGCAGTAAATTGAAAAATTATTTAAAAAATCCGGGAAAAATCCCAGAAGCTTACAATTTCATGGGCACATCAAAATGTATTTAGTCACGAGTGCTCTAGAAATAACCAAGGGCGCGCACATGCGGGAAAGCCCTCGTATACAGTATCATTCTATTTTTGGATTGGACTTTCAGAAATGGAGGCGGAAATTGACAAATTTTCAACGAATCCGTCGTGAAACCCAAGCACACAGGCATAGACATGATCAAATACCGTTACGCACTCGAATAAGAGTACCTTTTGTCTAATCGCACGTACTCACGAAAAAGTTCGACACCGAAAGTAAAATTTCACCGATTCGGCACTTCTATCTGCAAATCTGACTCTCCAAGACTCACCAATATTCGTGCTTCTCTTCGGGGAAGAAAGGACAGTGGACAGGATGAGAAATCCGAGCTCTGCCTTCCAACAATTTCATTTTTTCCTTCTTGGCAAGTTTGTTCTGACACTTCTCCCATTCCGCTTCGTCATCCTCGTCACTTGTCTCTTTCTCGGCCTGATGAATAATACAGCAATCAAAACGCGTCACTACTAATCGAGAAACAGCGGCAATCAACTCACTTTTTCCTGATCTAAAGCGTTTTGCAATTCTCCCTCGTTTTCGCTTTCGTCTCCGGTATCAGATTCACTACCTGAATCTTCTGTGCCACTGTCTTTTGCTTTTGAACTCTGATTGCGCTTTTCCTTGGAAACTGTGTCTGGACCCTGTAAGCATCCATGAGCATTCGACTTACACGACAGAAGGCAAACAATTCTAACAACAATATGGAATGGGAGATATTATTCACCATGAACTCTTCAGAATAAAATTCTCAGAGAACTGCTAGGTTTTCGATTCCCGGGTGGTCGCAAGATTCACAAAATCATCAATTCGTTTCAGTAATTTATCTGTATCAAATAATTTCTCCTGATCTTTCTCTAATGTACTTCTGCGGAGAATCTTTTCGCCTTTGCTATTTTTTGAACTTTCCTCAACGCAGAGACCTGCGCAAGAAATGGATGCAAAACATTTTGAACTATGGATAAAAAATAATTTCACTTGATCAGGTCAACAAATGATTTCATCAAACGAAATGGAACTCCAGTTGACACGTAGCATCGAAATTTGCTCGAAAACACGATAATACTCAAAGTTGAAAGGAATTAGAACTTTCCGCGTTTCTAATAAAGTAAATTGACTTTTGGAAGCTCACCGGAGTTGATTCAGGCGTATTAGATTCATCTCGGTCAGCATCACCACTGCCAACGTTACGACGAACCAAATTGCCCCTCTGAGCTTTATTCGCACCTGTTTTCTTCCCGCCTTTCTTCGCTTTGCTCTTCTTCTTCGCCTTCTGCCAAACTGGTTTTTTTGGCTAGATGAAAAAAAAAGCGTCAAATTACTTTGAACAGTATTCCTTGAACTTAAATTTGACAAGTCGCTGCCACAGAATTATTTTCACTTCAAGAAACACAGGACTTATAAAACTAACCATAAAAAGAAGAGTAAGCACATTTTCTCGACGAATACCTAGATTTAAAAAAAAAAAAAAAAAAAAAAAACCTAGACACCCAACTAACTCGCCAAACAACGCCATTCAAACAAACCAATCTTGCGTCTTTCGGGTTGAAAGGTCATTGACGAGTCGTACGTAAACACTATTGCTTGAAAATCGGTAAGTAATTTCTTCAAGTCCCCATCTGTATTTCCTCAACATGAACGGAGTAAAAACCTCCCAACCTCGGAGACTTTCCCGTCAAGCATCCATAACTCAAATTTCTAGTCATCACTTCATTGACACACGAAAAAGAAAAAATATCAAAAATGCAGATCGATATACAGTATTTTGAAGGGAAATGAAATACTGTTTGGGCACATGTAACCTTGATTACAAGTCCAGCATCCTTTCAACTCATTGAAGAAGCAATTTAATGCTCAGAATATCAAGTAACCAACAATTACAATATCCTGAATTCTTCTTTCCTCTCAACAAAAATGATTGTTTCCCAAACTCGAACTTTTTCGGCTGTCCCTTGAAGTTCGACTGAAATACATTCGCTGTGAACGAACTAATAAAGCTGAATACGACGTAGCTTTCGTGAAGGATCGCTTTGTGAACCGACACAATGAATACATATAATAAAGACTCGCACGGAAATCACAAAGTGTCGACGATTACTCCCACAAAAATAACCTCGATGCCATGACAATAATATTTAATACTTCAACCCGAAAAAAATAAAGACGTTTGACAGAGCAGATCCTCATACCTTTTCTTTCTGCTCTTCGTTTTCTCCTTCTTCCGCGCCTTCATCCTCATTCGACACTTTCTCCGGCTTCTTTTTCAGACCCGGAGTGAGAGGAGCACCTTCCATGATCCCTTCCATCGGTTCTCTTCTCAACGTAACCGTCACTGTTACAATGGCTTTCGCCGTGATCTTCCCAGAATCTTCGTCATCTAGAACCTCGGGCCTAACATCCATCGTAACATTCGGCATATTCTTCACGACATTCATGACGTTATTGAACTCTTCGTCATTCAGGCTACGCAAAATGCTTCGTTTTTCGTCATACGGCAAAAGAGCAAATTGACGGATGCTTTTGACGCTTCTCTGAAATAGTAAGGATTGGAAAGTGGAGCTTCAGTGAATCAAAAACACAAATGTTCTACACACTCTTTTCGTGACGAAATGTCGTAGTAAATCTTCGTTGATGTGAGGCAACTGCAACAATGGGCTTTTGTTATCCCACAGTGCTTGAACAATCATGGGGCTGATTTTCATCACATTCTCGATGGTTGCGAGTGCCGGCATCCGAGAAACTGGAAAAAATCCATTTGAAAATGCATTCTATACTAAAAAATCTCATTGTAACAAACTTTTAGAAAAGTTTTTTATACTGGTTAATTTGACATAACAATATGTTCAAAATTAATGGCTGGAAACCATTTCAACACCAGACCTGTCTTCAATCAATCAGATCCTGCTTTTCTCGCAATCTCAGACTTGTTCCTTACTGTTTGAAAAACTGGTTCTGAAAAATACCTTCAATCATGCATTCCATCAGTTGCACCAATCTCTTCATTCTGAGAAGATGAAGCTAAAATTTCCTCATTCTTTGAGAGCAATGAGTAGAACTACTAGGAAGCATGTTTATGAGTCATTACAGCTTCCATTCATGGTACGAGAAACAGCTGTCACTCACATTTGTAATGAGAAATTTCAGGCTGTGCCTGCCTCAGTCAGGAAATATCTATCTGAAGAATCTATTAAACATTCCTCAAAAAAGTTTTTTATATTGGTATTGGGAAGTTAGTTAGTTATAACAAGATTGTTCTAACATGTACTCTGCTTTTTCTGCTGGGACTTGAGGTCAAGTTTGTTATACTGAGAATTTTGTGGCAAGGGTATTTGTTGTAACGAGATTTCACTGTACAGACAGTTCGGAACCTCAATGAAATTTAAAACCAATCTTTCACAGAAATTCCATTGTATCGCAATTCCACTCGCAATATTTGCGTGAACTCCGTTGAGTCAATCATCATCCACGATTTCGCCACGAAGGTACAATATTTCTCTGCATTCGTCGAACAGGCCTAGTTATATTTCAGCGCTTTTGTATCAAGCTGTGAAAGTTAGACTTTGATGGTATGATTTCATCTAACTGATATATTTTATCTAGTAGAACTGCGATTTTCTACTCCTCAATGTGCATGGTAGTAAGTTACTCGAGAAACCGGGTACGGAATAAAACATTGACAAACTGGAAGACCCTCTTCAGACAAGAGCGCGGATATTTTTCGAAACTATTTTCGCGCTCATCGAAACTTCACCAAAAACTGTACCATTCCGCATCATCACTCATTGGGATGCATCCAAAATTCACAGTTAGCACGAGAAAAAATGTAATTCACATCGAACGACTCACTTCGTTTGGCATGTGCGAGTAGCATCAACTGTGACACGCAGTTGACCATTTCTTGAATGAGATCAGGACACTTCTTGACGACGTATAATCTATCTTTCTCAAGGGTATTCGGAGGCAGTGGGTACCGATGAAGATGCGCCCATATCAGCGCTCGTGCTTTTATCGAGTACACGAAGCACAAAGGTCGATCTTGCGTCTTTTCTCCAAGATCAACGAATTGCTTGATGACCTGTAAAATTGAAAAACGACTAGAGCTGAAAACCAGTCAACAATACTTACATGCTCGAGATGCTACGGCGTTCTTTGACTCAACGCTAATGAAATTTTTTTCCACAAAATTAGGCTTACAAGGCTGTTCACGAAGATAACTAATCGTGATTCGGAAAAACAACAGGGATGCCATTGAAAACTACCTCAAAGCGATGGATAAACTGTTCTAACCTACGTAGATTCGACGTTTGTTTGCTAACGGACACAAGCACAAAAACTCAATCGAAGGAATGACTAGAAGAAAAATGATCCCATTGACACCACGCTGTGGGAAACGAACAAATAATCACGAACATTTTTGATACGAATTGGGGAAGCACTGACCTGCGGAACCTGTTCATTGTCGGAAGGACGAGGTTTCATTTCTCTCGCATGAGAGCTATCGAATTCCAAGGACGCAGCAAGAACCATTAAGGCCCGCTTCAGCATCATCGACGGGGTTTTGTGGAAAAAGTAGTAGTAAATCTGACTCGTGTCAAATAACACTGCGTCACTCGAATACTGGATGGATCTGTACCACCAAATGCCGACTACAGTTGGAAGAGCAACCATGAAAACCATCGCGTAAACACCCAGGATCTAGAAACCGTATAACCAAAAGCGTTCAGCACTGCGAAATCTGGCCATTCCGGACTCCATCATATATTACCAAAATTGAGTTTTCTTTTTCAACGATCCACGAAGGAAGCGCAATCCCGAAGGTCATAGCACCTGGACCGTCGGGGTTCCCGTACAACTCCCAGTTTCTCCTCGATGTTTCATCAGTCAACGCTTCATAAGCTTTCGTAAGCTTCATGAAGAGCTTCTCATCACCCGTTTCTTTGTCCGGGTGATATTTCAACGAGAGTTTGTGATAAGCTTTTTTGATTTCTCGGTTTGATGCACTCTGGAAAGTACCTCAACGGTTAGCTTCGACTCAATGTGGAAAGGAATACAATGCTCATCATTACCGGATCCACTTGCAATATGTCGTATGGATCGAAGTTCGCGTACTCGTAGTCGAACTGACTCGCTTTGAACACGAGGAACGCGAAAAACAGCCATCCGCAAAGAATACACAATTTTCTGGGTTGGACAAGATATGATTCGGTTGACATAAAACTTGACATGAATCCAGAGCAATCACAAAATAACATTTACCTTAACCGCCATTTGACTTTCTTCCAAGGATCCTTGTTTTTCAACTGAGCTTTTTTCTGCTGACATGGTTCACAACGGCAACGTCGAGGCGTATGCTCTTCGGCTACAAAATGAAGATACATTATTATTTCAACCACGCGGATACATGAACAAGCCAAATATTACATTTCACTTACGCTTTTCACCAGGTGGCCAACCATAATATGTCGCAGGGATCAGGCATAATCCCAGAAATGATAAAATAAAATAGAGAAAAGTTGATCCTTTCTCATCATATTCAAATTTCTGGCCAGCCATCGACAAGTAATTTCACAGTCTTCAAAAGATCACACGGATAGAGCGGGGATTAAATCCCGCTAAGAGTTAAGATAGCTCAAGACGCACAATACACATCAACTTCAGATTTTCTACGGACCGTTCTCCCATTCGATCATCTGCGTTAAAAATTGGACGAAACACGGTGAAAGATCTTATCACTAGTTCAAGGCACAAGCGGTCATCGTAAATTCATACACGGGTGGCCATTCCAGAAACAGCGCCACGAGAACAAGGCGTTACTGCGCTCATCGATGCGTAACAGTTCCGCGTTCGCGTTAAGTAATTATCCAAAAAAAACGCAATAGACTAATATCACCGAAAATACGAAATTTCTGGTTTTCCGCGTGGTATCGCTTCCGTCACAACGTAGATGTTTCTTTTTCGTAAATAAAATCTTTCGAATGAAAAAATTCTTTTCGTAATTCAGATTGAAGCATGATTCGATTGATTAAACCGTAGCGAAAAACTGTTCCGACTTGATCTAGATTTCAATCTAGATAGAGGTTTCTTTCTGCAACTAAGCTGCGATTGCGGAATTTCCACTAGCTAACACAAATAGCATTCTGTTAGAATGTAGCACCCAAAGCTACACCTTCCGAACTTGCACCCTGGCCGCGTTACACCGGCACCAGGTGCGCGGCCATGTCTACATGTGTTCGAATTTCCAACAATAAATACAAAAATCACTTAGGAGCACGTAAGGTCATTGTCAGTCGTGGATATCAAGACAGAAGCTAAGAATGTTTAACGAGATGGGACAGGATTAATATGAGATTTCAGCGATCGCTGTCGAAGATCACATGTAGCGGTTAGGGACAAGGTTCTCCCGATTTCACCGTCAGCTGCAGCTTTAGTGCCTCTTGCTATGCTGCAATGAGATATAATCTATTCAGTCACAGAATACCAGAGGCGTTTAAGGAACATACCCTCTTGGAGTGCACTCGGCGCTGCACAGATGTCGCATGCTTGTTGTGCCCAACCGAATCCATCAATCGCATTCGCTTGAAGCGTGGCTGTTGCAGCTGCTGAGTGAATCCCTGAGCTGTAGCATTGGCATCACAACAGCACTTGGGCGGGCAGCAGCACGGCGGAGGTGGGCAACAGCACGGTGGCGGGCAACAGTCATCATCCATCCGCGCCTCCATTGTGGTGGGTGCCGCAGACGCAGCAGCGTCATTCGCCTCGCAACAACACTTGGGTGGGCAACAACATGGCGGCGGTGGGCAGCAACACGGAGGTGGGCAACAGTCATCCATGCGTCCAGTACTCATGTTTGGCGCAGGCGCAGCAGCGTCATTCGCCTCGCAACAGCACTTGGGTGGGCAACAACATGGCGGCGGTGGGCAGCAGCACGGAGGTGGGCAGCAGTCATCGTCCGCCAGCTGTCGCTTCATGCCGCGGCTCTGTGGCTGCTCCATGGCCTCCATCATCTTGACGTCGTCGGCGCTCAGCTCCAGGTCCATGAACTTGGCGTCCTTCGCGGGCGCCTCGCAACACTTGGGTGGGCAGCAGCAGGGTGGTGGTGGGCAGCAGCAGGGCGGTGGGCAGCAGTCGTCAGCGAGTTGCTGTTGCTTCTGGACCATGCTGTGAGCCATCTTGAATCCGGGTACAGGCGAGGAATTTCAATGGGGTTAAACGAAGAAAACTGGTGAAGGAAGAGAGTAATTAATTTATAAATGATGAAACTATGAAGTCGTCATGACATGCTTTCCAAACAATGAGATACGCCCCTCACGTAGAGAAGATTTCATTTAACCTGCGTAGTGTTTTAGTGCCCTTTTGATCACGTCAGTGCACCTGCACTCAGGTTTTCTGAATATTCACACACCTCGATACTCGGAAAGAGTAGTAACTGGAAGTGGTATTCCTGGAATTTGTTCTATCATTATTATTTAGGACTGTCTTGAAATTACTGTAATTAGCTGCGGAAGGTATTTTAGAATCAGCGCCTAAAAATCAGTTGACTTAGAATAACCCTGCAAGCGCAGTTCGTATTATATTTACAATAAAAAAGTATACGATGCTTCATTGTTTTCTTTATCACATTCAGAATAATATGCTGTTATTAAAAAAAGTGTGAGCGGTGTTTCTTTGTACAATTTAACTGACGCATATCAGTGCATTTTTGTACTACACTGTATGCTGTCTAAAAAGAATAGGGCGTTTTCATTTTTACCAATTCAACGAGATTGCAATGATGTAAAATATATACGCACAGCTGAAAGTCTTGTTGTGTCATGCTGTCATGATGTAGAACATTGTTGGAAAATTTTTGACTCTTGTTTTTTTAATGCCTTAAGAAAAACATTAAAATTTGCTGATTCAATACTTGACTTTCACAGGTAGCAAAGAATTCGATAGCAGGAGTCAAATTAATCCTCACTGAAAGACGATAACAGCATGCCCATAATATAAGCAAGAAAAAAATGGTAGAACACATTTTCCCTGTTGGTAAATTAGTCCTAACACTTTATTTATGGGGACAATATTTGTAAAGGTCTTTTATGTAAAAAAAAAGTAATTTTCCTCTATAATCTGAGAAGAAAATTTTGTTTGCCTCCATTCTACGCATGCATGGGCCAAAGTAATTTGTAATACTGTACTGTCATTTGCACAATCAATGGATAAGCTGGGAAAACCCAACTTGAGCATAATTTAAACACTTTTAAAAGATGCATGAATGCTCATTTTTTTTCAGTAAATTTACCATTAAAGGAAGTGTGAAGATTTAATAAAACATTTTCTAGCTTTATCCCCTCAGCATTTAGAGATGGCTAATTTTTGAAAAGAAAATTATGCATGAAAGGAATGTTAGGATACTGCTGCGATGCAGGGAACATAAGTTCTTAATGAAAAATTATCTTCTTACACATAATTTTTCTGTTTACACTGGCTCATACTTAAGCAGTAAGCGCAGTACATTTTTTAAATAATATAAGTCTAGAATATAATGATTGCATTTCAAAATTTTAATTTTCTTGATTATTTCATCAAAATAAATCTTAAATGTAGTGTTCTTCACAAATGTTTTGTGCAACAAAGTACGTTGAAGCATTTAATATTAGTTTCCTAATGGAATTTGGGTTCTTACATGCTCAATAAATAATCATGAATCTCTTCAAAACAAATTTTTCAATGCTTCAAATTTTTTCCTTCAAGTCCCTGTTATGGGACTTGGTTTAAATGAATTCTTTCCGTGATTGCTATTATGCATTTTGTTCGGGTTTTCTTCACCAGCTACACATCTCACAATCCTTCTAAAAAGTCTCGTACCTCACAAACCAATATGGCGGCCTAATGCAATTTCTTTGTTATTAAAAGTACAAAATCTAGGCAACAATTTCTCTCTGGCAACGGAAGAAAATGCTTTTCCTGGCTATTTCCCAGACCTCTGAAAAAAAAAATCCAGTGCGATAAAGTACGAACACCGGCTTTACGAACACTTCGGTTGACAGAAGATATCCATCTTGAAGTCTACTACTTTATATAGTGTCGTTCAATCCATCATTTTTGATTAGCAAAATATATAATGCGTATGTGTGTACAGTATATGGCATATCATGTAGTATTCATGACCATCAGGATCACCCTTATAATCGTCGAGTCCACCCATTCTCTGTATTATATATACTGAAAAAAAAAATTGTCGCTACATCAGCAGCACTCTTATTCATCATCAGCACCGGCTATGTACAAATTGAAAAAAAAAACAATTGAATGAAAAGAAAAGAGAATAGAGGGGCCGTAACAGGGCTTGAAGGAATGCTGTCCATGGGCATGCAGCCACTACAAGGCTCGCATCGAGCAACGACCGGCCGCAATGTGGGTCATGTGGCCTGAATCCTCGAATGTCCCTTTTCCCTGATCCACTGAGCCAGCAGTCGACAAGTTCACTGGCCCAGTGTCGGCTGGCTGGGCTGCTGACACTTGAGTCAATCAATCAGCCAGTTTTTCTGAAAGAAAAATATTATTCTTTTCCGCTATTTTCTGCTTGAATGCGTGATTTTCAAGTGTCATATATTGTATACCAGTGTTCACCCCAACCAATGGTTCGACCTGCGCTGGTCTGCAAAAGATTTTTGCTGGTCCACAGAAAAAATTTCTACAACATACTGAATTGATAAAAAGTAGCAATGAAGTCTGTTATCTTGATCCAAAATTTTGCAAAGATCATCACAGAGTGGAAGTTATCTGATGAAAAAATGAAAGTTGGCTTTTATTCCAACTATAAGACTTCAGATAAATTTTTGCATGCTGGAATAATTTACACTCACCCCCATCTAATGGACTTGAATACCACAAAATTCTATATACTGTTCACTATCTACGCATTATGTATTTTGCTATTCAAAAATGGAGTTTGAATGACAGTAGTAAATTTTAAGGTGTATATCTTCCATCAAGCAAAGTGTTGTTAAATAAGCCAGTGTTTGCACTTTATTGCACTGAATTTTTCTTCAGAGTTCTGGGAAATGGCCAGGAAAAGCATTTTTAGGTTGCAGAGAGACATTTTTGCTGTAGATACAGCGAGAACCCAAGATTTGGATGTAATTGGTGCATCAAAAGTGTCCCTAACTCAAAATGTCTCTAATTCAAGTATCATTTTCCCTTAGACTTACATTATCTAATTTTAAATTTGTGTTTTATGTACAAAATACTCATTATAATTCCATGAAAATTGTCTCCCAATTTAAACTGATTCAATCAATATATTTCAACACAATATGGACATTTGGGGAATTGATTACTGATAGCTCTGTACAGTACATATAAATGTTGGCATTCTCTGTAAAAATAACATTGAAGTGAAAAAGAAAGAAGGAAGTCCCTCTATGCTGGAGATAATGTTTTTAAATTAGCTAAATGGATAGTAAATTAGTGAGAGAAATGTCCATGCACTTTTCTTACATCAATTTCACGGTTGGAAATATCAGTTTCTTGTAATTTGGCCTGATATGTATTTGCAATTTTATCACAAAATGTCCCTATGTCCAGTCAGTGTCCTCATGTTGGGCCTTTTTTATTAATTATTTAATGGGAAAATAAGTGTCCCTATGCTGAATTGTCTGCAGGTCAAGGTGTCTGCAAGTGTGGGTATTGCTGTTCTGTACTTATACAAACAGTGACATTTCACTGGGTCGCC